TTTTTGTGGCTTTTGCTGCGACAATGTCATATCTCTTTATTGTTTTTTCTTTTTTTATAACATTTTTCAATATGGATTATTTATTCGTTAGATTCTTGCCTTCAGAAGCTCATAATGGCATATTCAGAGCTCCCTTTTCCCTACAACCACAAGCCTGTGAGGTAGGGTGGGCTGAGAGTGGCTGGGCCAAAGTTACCAGAGAGATTCCGTGGCTGAGGACGGATTGGAATCTGGGTCGTCCTGCACCTAGTCCAACATCTTGATCACTAGTCTACACTGGCTCTCGTATCACATGTTGCAAGCATAACTTACACCAAACATTATTTAATAGCAACTCATGCTTTTTGAAATATAGATCCTGTTTGTGTAATGAGACAAAAGGTTTTTAAGTGAAATCTGGGACTATATCACCTTTAGGCAGTAAAATAGACTGCCTTCCTTTTTTTGTAACTACACATTTCTGGTTATGCTAATTCTGATTAATTATTTTCTACAGAAACCAAAGCCCAAGCCTCGACCATCTATCACAAAGACTACATGGGAGAGCAACTATTTTGGGGTGCCTTTGACCACTGTAGTGACCCCAGAGAAGCCCATTCCTATTTTTATTGAGAGATGCATTGAATACATTGAAGCAACAGGTAAGGTGCCTTTGTAGCAAGTTGTAGTCAATGAATGTTTAAGATTTTGGGATAGAATGACCGATTAGATACCTCCCCATCTTCTAATCTTTTCTAAAGATGTGGCAGATTTATTTCAGTCAGCCATTGCAGATACTATTGATAAAATAATATCTCAATTCCGTATTAAACTTTGTGTAAAATAAGCCCAATGGTACCCTGTGACTTTTAAAAAATGAGAAGGGAGGATATGCATACCTTCTTGGAAGAAGCTCTGGAATGTGATCATATGAAACATTTTCTAAATATGCTCATCTGTGTCCCCTGTATTAATTGCCACAACTATATTAGCATTGTTAGAAAAGAGTAACAGTTTGTTGAAGGATATTGCTGTGCAAGCTTTTAACTATGCCACCTTGATGTCAGCAGTCTGTAGATAATTAATATATTGCAATGTTTTGAATGTTATTGGACCGAAGATTCAAAAACTTTTTATATTTCTTCATATTTTTTACCTACCAAGATATAGCTTATTTCTCCCTCCTGAGTAGCTAGCTGAAGATGAAATAACTTGATAGTACTTGAAGTGGCATTGGTCAGATGTGAAATATTTCTCCCTCACCCCATTGTTGGCTTGTCAAGGAAATCCTTCCTGGCCTGAAGGGCTGCCTTCTGATTGCCTGATCCTGGCATTCTTCTTCTAACACCACTACACACCCTCCATAAGACCATTTCAGCTGCTGTCCTTTTTTAGGGCTTTCCATTTCATTTTGCTGCTCTGAAACCTCTGCATTGAGAATGTTGGTGGTGTAGTTTTGAATAGTATCATCCTACTTTCAGAACTATAATAATTGCGTACTTTCACATTCAACTCTTGGTTTCTGGCCCCTTATAACAGTTTAGATATTGACAGGTGGGAGCTAAGCAGGGTCAGGCTTGGTTAATACTTGGATGGGTGACTGCAGGCAAATCCCAGAGCTGTCACTAGACTGCAGTGTCAAAAGACATCCCTGAAAGAAGTGGTGGCAAACCATTTCCGTATTGTTGCCAAGAAAACGACATGGATGTACAGTTGACAGGAGTTGAACAAGCTGGGATGAGGGAAACCTTGCTAATAATTTACACCATGATTTGTTTCTGATTGAAAATTTCATGATTCTTGAAACAACGGGATTTGGATTTTGAGAAGTTGGGACAGCCAAGAAAACAGTGTTTCTGTCTTCTCTGAGGACATTGGTCTTTTCTGTTTTTACTGTTCATGTCAAGTAGAAGCATTTCTCTAGCAAAGTTAAGTTGCAGTTTTCCCATTTAGCATCACTAGAGTAGATTTAGTCTCCATTTGCCAACACAGGACAGTAACATGTAACTTCTTTACTTGAGAGAAACCATCTCCAGCAAAAAATGTCATGCTTTAAGGTAGCACCATGGTCAATTTATCTCCAGTAAACTCTCTGCTATTAGTACTTCTAATAGGGACAACTTCTCAAGAAGAGATTGTTAGCCATTTATAAAAATTGGATCTGTGATAGTTTTCATGCTAAACTAGATGCTATTATTTAGAATATTCACAGTGTCTTCATTTTTCAGCATGTAAACTTCTATGTTACCAAAGAAGGAGTGTTTGAGCATATGAGAGTTATCAGCAGGTTTAGGGGAAAATGTTTAGGGGAAGAACCAAGGGGGCAGGATGAGTAGGGATGGAGGACTCTTCATTAGAACACTGAGTATTGGGAGGGAAGTCTGGACTCCTGACAAAGATTATCCCGTGAGCAACACTTTTTATATTGGCTTCCTGCATCATTTGGAGCAGGAAGGCAATGTTTTAATGGTTAAGGTTTGGGCCTAAGGGGAGTGGCAGCCACAGAGTGGTGGGGCCACATTGCTTAGTTGGGCAAGGCTGGGTCTGATGGAGTTTGGGGTTTTCCTTTTTTTTTTTTAAGTGTGACATACTTGTTTTAGGGGATGCATGTCAATTTTCATCTATTTCCTTCACTATAATGAAGAGAAACTGCTATTAGTTTTCAGTAATCGTGGTCAGTGTGCTCTGAGGGCCACAAAGAGGTGATTCAGGGCCACATGTGGCTCTGGGGCCATAGGTTCTCCAGCCTGTTTAGAGCTGTCTGGCACTGTTTCAGAGGTTGTTGATTTAGGAATATTGTTCTGAGGTTAACAGCCCTTGGTGACACAGAAGAAATCTCGGATTTTCACTCTCCTTCAGTTTCTCAAGCTTTCAGAGTCACTCGGGTAATCTTTTTGCTTGAAATTGTGGACTGTGCTCCCCCTCTGCTTAATTGTGATAATACTCATGTTTGCACAGTTAAGAACGAAGTCAGGAGCTCCTAATTGGCATGGGGGTTTTCTCTCCTTCTGCCTCACTTCAGGCTCTAACAGCCTCTGGTAATGGAGCAAAATAAAGGGGTTTTATCATGTTTTATCCTGGATTCTGTGAGCAAATAACACATTATTAAAAAGAAACAACTGGGCCATCCACTGCCTGCCTAAGCAGAGGAAATAAAAAATGAACTCAGGAAGGGAATAAATAAGAAAAAAGGTCCCAGCACACTGGTTCAGAAACTGAAATGATTTGTCCATGTAACTATTGAATTTAGTTTAAACTAAAACTACTTGGAAGACATCATGTATTCTGGTAGGATTTGAATTTGGACTTCAAAGTGTTCTGTAGGTACTGATGCCATATGGCCTTCACTTGGTTAATTATGTAGAGATAACCTAAGTGTTGAACTGCCAGAAGAATTTTAGGTGTCTGTCTCTTGCATCACAACTATGCATGTTCCTTACTGACTCTTACTGGTGTCTCGTGCAGTTAGAAAGATATTCTCATGTTATACTAAAAGCTGCTTTCTTCAGTGCCCTTTTATCTATTTGATGGTAATGTATTCAGAGAATGCTGTATAAATAGTTACAGTATTCTCTTTTTTTAAAAAAATAACCTGTATTTTTAAATCCTAGTTGCTAGGATTTCCAGAGAATAGAAGTACTCTGAAGATATACCACAGATAATCCCTTTTCTGATGCAGAATTTTAAATGCTGTAATGTTCTCTTTTCTTTCTTGTTCTGTAAAAGTTCACTGTCAGAACCTTAACCAAGAATAAAAGATAGTTGAAGGAGAGAAAGGACTAACAAACTATTTTTAATTCTTTTCATACTTACAGAAACCGTGCTTCAAGTTTGTAGGCAGGAGCCTTGCAGTAGGCACGATGAGTTCGCATTTCTGGATGTCGTCATATTTAGAGAAGCACAGGCTACTGAATCTCTGGGACATAATACCAAATGCAAATCTAGACTATCTGTGGTTTGTTTAGCAAGCCATAGTGAGCTGATCTGTAGATAACCCAACAGAGGCTGGGTTGTTACTAAACCAAAAACCAGCCAACCACATTACTGTTGCATTAACTGTGAGCCAGGCCACCTCAGGATGCTCAGGATACAGGTAGTCCTCGGTTAACAATGGCAGTTGGGACCAGAATTTCCATCGCTAAACAATGTGGTTGTAAAGACCAATGTCACGTGACCGCATCACTTGGTGGCGGCAATCCTGGCACCACTCCTTGCCATTGTTAAGTGAGGGTTGCAGGTTGTTAAGTGAGTCCCAGGTGGCTCGCAGGCAGGCCAGCAGACAGGTAAGTGGCTGCTGCCAGGCAGGGGAGGATGTGCAGGTGACCCACGTGGGGGGGCCAGGGGGGGCTGCTGCCAGGTGGAGTAGAGTGTGAGCAACTTACCAGAGCAACTTGTGACCTTCCCTGCTGGCTTCCTTATTGACTTTGCTTGTGGGAAGCTGGCAGGGAAGGTTGCAAATGGCAATCACGTGACCGTGGAACACTGCAACCACCATAAGTGTGAGCCAGTTGCCAAGTACCCAGATCATGATCACGTGACTGCTGTGACCGCTGGAACTTTGAGGATCAGTCATAAGTACCACTTGTTCAGCGCCGTCGTAAGTTCAAACAGTTGCTGAACAAGTGATCATTAAACAAGGACTACCTGTATAAGACTCTCTGTAACCTTTATCCAACCTCCAACTCTTGATTAGGCTGCATCACAGGATTGCTATATATGTATCCTAAACCAGGGTTTTTCAAATGGTCTTCCACAGAACCCTAGGGTTTCATGATAACAATGGGTTTCTGTGAGAGACTGAGGGCAATATATATATAGGGCAATATATATATAACCTTTAGTGGTAGAATATTGGCTGCGTCTGAGATTTTA